GAGAGAGACAGGTGAGAGACAGACAGGTGAGAGAGAGACAGGTGAGAGACAGACAGGTGAGAGACAGACAGGTGAGAGACAGAGAGGTGAGAGAGAGACAGGTGAGACAGAGAGGTGAGAGACAGAGAGGTGGAGACAGACAGGAGAGAGACAGACAGGTGAGAGACAGACAGGAGAGAGACAGACAGGTGAGAGACAGACAGGTGAGAGACAGACAGGTGAGAGACAGACAGGTGAGAGACAGACAGGAGAGAGACAGACAGGTGAGAGACAGACAGGTGAGAGACAGACAGGCGAGAGACAGACAGGCGAGAGACAGACAGGTGAGAGACAGAGAGGTGGAGACAGAGAGGTGGAGACAGACAGGTGAGAGACAGACAGGTGAGAGACAGACAGGTGAGAGACAGACAGGTGAGAGACAGACAGGTGAGAGACAGAGAGGTGAGAGACAGACAGGTGAGAGACAGAGGTGAGAGACAGGTGAGAGACAGACAGGTGAGAGACAGACAGGTGAGAGACAGACAGGTGAGAGACAGACAGGTGAGAGACAGACAGGTGAGAGACAGACAGGTGGGAGACAGACAGGTGAGAGACAGAGAGGTGAGAGACAGACAGGTGAGAGACAGACAGGTGAGAGACAGACAGGTGAGAGACAGACAGGTGAGAGACAGACAGGTGGAGACAGAGAGGTGGAGACAGACAGGTGAGAGACAGACAGGTGAGAGACAGACAGGTGGAGACAGAGAGGTGGAGACAGACAGGTGAGAGACAGACAGGTGAGAGACAGACAGGTGAGAGACAGACAGGTGAGAGACAGAGAGGTGAGAGAGAGACAGGTGAGAGAGAGACAGGTGAGAGACAGACAGGTGAGAGAGAGACAGGTGAGACAGAGAGGTGAGAGACAGACAGGTGAGAGACAGAGAGGTGAGAGACAGAGAGGTGAGAGAGAGACAGGTGAGAGAGAGACAGGTGAGAGACAGACAGGTGAGAGACAGACAGGTGAGAGACAGACAGGTGAGAGACAGACAGGTGAGAGAGACAGGTGAGAGAGAGACAGGTGAGACAGAGAGGTGAGAGACAGACAGGTGAGAGACAGACAGGGGAGAGACAGACAGGTGAGAGACAGACAGGTGAGAGACAGAGAGGTGAGAGACAGACAGGTGAGAGACAGAGAGGTGAGAGAGAGACAGGTGAGAGAGAGACAGGTGAGAGACAGACAGGTGAGAGAGAGACAGGTGAGACAGAGAGGTGAGAGACAGACAGGTGAGAGACAGACAGGTGAGAGACAGACAGGTGAGAGACAGACAGGTGAGACAGACAGGTGAGAGAGAGACAGGTGAGACAGAGAGGTGAGAGACAGACAGGTGAGAGACAGAGAGGTGAGAGAGAGACAGGTGAGAGAGAGACAGGTGAGAGACAGACAGGTGAGAGAGAGACAGGTGAGACAGAGAGGTGAGAGACAGACAGGTGAGAGACAGACAGGTGAGAGACAGACAGGTGTTTGTCCTCACATCGTTTGATCTTCAGCTGCTTCTCGTCCAGACAGCCACTCATCCTGCTGGCCTTCTCTCTCGCCTCCTGATTGGCTGGAGGACCCTGCAGATGTTACAGAGTGATGTCACAGTGTGATGTTACAGAGTGATGTCACAGTGTGATGTCACAGTGTGATGTCACAGTGTGATGTCACAGAGTGATGTCACAGTGTGATGTCACAGAGTGATGTCACAGAGTGATGTCACAGTGTGATGTCACAGAGTGATGTCACAGAGTGATGTCACAGTGTGATGTCACAGTGTGATGTCACAGAGTGATGTCACAGAGTGATGTCACAGTGTGATGTCACAGTGTGATGTCACAGAGTGATGTCACAGAGTGATGTCACAGTGTGATGTCACAGTGTGATGTCACAGTGTGATGCCACAGAGTGATGTCACAGAGTGATGTCACAGTGTGATGTCACAGAGTGATGTCACAGAGTGATGTCACAGAGTGATGTCACAGTGTGATGTCACAGTGTGATGTCACAGTGTGATGCCACAGTGTGATGTCACAGTGTGATGTCACAGAGTGATGTCACAGAGTGATGTCACAGAGTGATGTCACAGAGTGATGTCACAGTGTGATGTCACAGTGTGATGTCACAGTGTGATGTCACAGTGTGATGTCACAGTGTGATGTCACAGAGTGATGTCACAGTGTGATGTCACAGAGTGATGTCACAGTGTGATGTCACAGAGTGATGTCACAGAGTGATGTCACAGAGTGATGTCACAGTGTGATGTCACAGTGTGATGCCACAGTGTGATGTCACAGTGTGATGTCACAGAGTGATGTCACAGAGTGATGTCACAGAGTGATGTCACAGTGTGATGTCACAGAGTGATGTCACAGAGTGATGTCACAGTGTGATGTCACAGAGTGATGTCACAGTGTGATGTCACAGTGTGATGTCACAGAGTGATGTCACAGTGTGATGTCACAGAGTGATGTCACAGTGTGATGTTACAGAGTGATGTCACAGTGTGATGTTACAGAGTGATGTCACAGTGTGATGTTACAGAGTGATGTCACAGTGTGATGTCACAGAGTGATGTCACAGTGTGATGTTACAGAGTGATGTCACAGTGTGATGTTACAGAGTGATGTCACAGTGTCCTACCATGCTGGTCAGCTTGTCCTTGAAGTACGGTTTGAGGAAGCGTCCCAGGTACATGCCGACGGACTGCTGACAGGACGAGGAGGCGGGCTGTTCCTGAGGGCGCTCTCTGATTGGTCCAGACAGCTGAGACACCAGCTCCTTCTGCAGGGAGGAAGATAACGATCACAATGAACTGTATTCATAAAGCACTTCAGAACAGAGCTGCTGAATGTCCTGAGAGATGTGCTCTGCCAAAAACGTTGATAAAAACAATATATTAAAATATGTTTTCAATCTTGATCAACAACAACGATCTGACCTGCTGTCTGTTGTTGTTTGTTAGCAGCTCCTCCAGCTGCTGCAGCGTCTCCTGAAGGACCTGCTGATACACCAGGTTCATCTGGAGACATCCTTCAGGGGAGGGGGGGACGCCGAGCTCACTCTGAGGGGACAGACAGCTCACTGTGAGGGGACAGACAGGTCACTCTGAGGGGACAGACAGCTCACTGTGAGGGGACAGACAGCTCACTGTGAGGGGACAGACAGCTCACTGTGAGGGGACAGACAGCTCACTGTGAGGGGACAGACAGCTCACTCTGAGGGGACAGACAGCTCACTCTGAGGGGAGAGACAGGTCACTGTGAGGGGACAGACAGCTCACTCTGAGGGGACAGACAGCTCACTCTGAGGGGACAGACAGGTCACTCTGAGGGGAGAGACAGGTCACTGTGAGGGGACAGACAGCTCACTCTGAGGGGACAGACAGCTCACTCTGAGGGGACAGACAGCTCATTGTGAGGGGACAGACAGCTCACTCTGAGGGGACAGACAGCTCACTCTGAGGGGACAGACAGCTCATTGTGAGGGGACAGACAGCTCATTGTGAGGGGACAGACAGCTCACTCTGAGGGGACAGACAGCTCACTCTGAGGGGACAGACAGCTCACTCTGAGGGGACAGACAGCTCACTCTGAGGGGACAGACAGCTCACTCTGAGGGGACAGACAGCTCACTCTGAGGGGACAGACAGCTCACTCTGAGGGGACAGACAGCTCACTCTGAGGGGACAGACAGCTCACTCTGAGGGGACAGACAGCTCATTGTGAGGGGACAGACAGCTCACTGTGAGGGGACAGACAGCTCACTCTGAGGGGACAGACAGCTCACTCTGAGGGGACAGACAGGTCACTCTGAGGGGACAGACAGCTCACTCTGAGGGGACAGACAGCTCACTCTGAGGGGACAGACAGCTCACTCTGAGGGGACAGACAGCTCACTCTGAGGGGACAGACAGCTCATTGTAAGGGGAGAGACAGCTCACTCTGAGGGGACAGACAGGTCACTCTGAGGGGACAGACAGGTCACTCTGAGGGGACAGACAGGTCACTCTGAGGGGACAGACAGCTCACTCTGAGGGGACAGACAGGTCACTCTGAGGGGACAGACAGCTCATTGTAAGGGGAGAGACAGGTCACTCTGAGGGGACAGACAGCTCATTGTAAGGGGAGAGACAGCTCACTCTGAGGGGACAGACAGGTCACTCTGAGGGGACAGACAGCTCACTCTGAGGGGACAGACAGGTCACTCTGAGGGGACAGACAGGTCACTCTGAGGGGACAGACAGGTCACTCTGAGGGGACAGACAGCTCACTCTGAGGGGACAGACAGGTCACTCTGAGGGGACAGACAGGTCACTCTGAGGGGACAGACAGCTCACTCTGAGGGGACAGACAGCTCACTGTGAGGGGACAGACAGGTTACTACTTACCTCCTCACTGCTGCTGTCGTCTGCATCTGAAACTACAGGAGAGACACAATCAGACAGACAGACAGACAGACAGACAGACAGGTAGATAGACAGACAGACAGACAGACAGACAGAGAGACAGACAGACGGACAGACGGACAGAGAGACAGGTAGACAGACGGACAGAGAGACAGGTAGACAGACAGACAGACAGGTAGACAGTTTGGGTTTCGTTTGGGTCGGTGTGAACACAGTCAGAGACCCCTGAAGTGAACTAAAGCAGGGGTTCCCAATCTTTATTGTACCAAGGACCGGTAGATACATTAAAAAAAAATCGCGGACCGGTTGTCAATTTTAACTGATTTTAATATTTACAACAGAGGCTAATTGTGTGTAACAGCCTGAACAAATACTAGAACAATATGCATCCAAAACATATTAACAAAGTTTAAAAAATAACCGGTGTTGTTTTTTGGTTTTTCGGAAAACCAAAAAACGACGTTATTCAGTTTTTAAACCAAAACGGGAAAACAGATAAATCAACGTTTTGGTTTTGTTTGATTTACGGATAATCCAGTGAATGCTGGGAAAACGAGGAGAAGGCGCATTATGGTG